TCTCTTTTTTAATGGCAAGAGACTTCTCATGGTATTCTTTAGCCTGATTGTACTGACCAAGGTCACTGTAAACAAGTCCCAGGTTGTTGTAACTTTGCGCTACGTCACCATGGTGTTCACCATAAATCTCTCTTTTAATGGCAAGAGACTTCTCATTGTATTCTTTAGCCTGATAGTACTGACCAAGGTCACTGTAAACAAGTCCCAGGTTGTTGTAACTTTGCGCTACGTCACCATCGTGTTCACCATAAATCTCTTTTTTAATAGTAAGAGACTTCTCATAGTATTCTTTAGCCTGATTGTACTGACCAAGGCTTTTGTAAACATTTCCCAGGTTGTTGTAACTTGCCGCTACGTAACCATGGTGTTCCCCATAAATCTCTTTTCTAATGGCAAGAGACTTCTCGTGGTATTCTTTAGCCTGATTGTACTGACCAAGGTTTGTGTAAACATTTCCAGGTTGTTGTAACTCGCCGCTACGTCACCATGGTGTTCACCATAAATCTCTTTTCTCATAGTAAGAGAGTTCTCATGGTATTCTTTAGCCTGATTGTACTGACCAAGGTTTATGTAAACACTTCCCAGGTTGTTGTAACTTGCCGCTACGTCACGATGGTGTTCACCATAAATCTCTTTTGTAATAGCAAGAGACTTCTTATGGTATTCTTTTGCCTGACAGAACCTCCCAAGTTGGCAATGAACATTGCCGCGTTTACCAAAATGTTTCGCCTTTTGCAATTTATCATCTTGAGTGTCACTTAGATACATTATAAAATCAGAGGATAAAGTTGAGAAAAGGTACGCATCCGATAAATTACTCTGGCGCAAACAAACTTCAGTAATAAGGGTAAGAAACGAAACTAAATTGCCAGGAGTAATTACCGGTAGTAATGTATTAAGCACTGATTGTTCTTCATTAACCATTTTAGTTCTGATTAACTGAAATAACACTTTACAATGACTGACAATTCTCCTCAGCTTTCCGAAGGCCTGGGCACTAGCAAGTAGAAGATTCCGGTTTTCTTTCATTAATGAATGAAAAGTCCTAACAGCAACAGAAAAGCACTCAGCTTCATGGGTCACGTCCAGGAAAGTTGTTATAGCGGAGTTTACCACTTCATGAACAACATTATGTACTCTTAAGTAAGTGGGCGTGTCGTCTTTGTCATACAGGCAAGTCATCATGGTGGATTTCAGAATTTTTGCTCTAATCAACGCTTCTGTTTGATGTTTTGTGCGAAATTTAACAAAGTCAACAGCAGCTGCAATAGGTAGGGACTCAGATGCGCACAACGAAAATAAAGAAAATACTTCACAAAGAACTTCGTCGCTTTCCAAAGCTCGAGTTATTGCCATTTTGATGGCAGTAGTCATTGTTTTGGGATATGCTCTGTTTTGTTTCGCAAAAAACGCCTCCCCGGCTTCGCGTCCCTCGCTGTTAAACGTTTCCAGGTATTTTGTCCAACTATAATTAGGGGTACCATAGCTGACAATAGTTTGTACGTAGACTGCAGCAGCTGCCAAGGCAAGTGGCTGATACTCGAGAACTTCAGCAACCTTCTCAGCTTGTTGTTGATTCGAAATTTGGGACACTTCTCTTAAAAGGTCTACTGCATCATCTGGGTGCATTCCTTTACTGAGAGACTCATGGTAAGTATGAGGGGAATTGAAGGGTATTGACTGAGTATCTTNCGCCTCCCCGGCTTCGCGTCCCTCGCTGTTAAACGTTTCCAGGTATTTTGTCCAACTATAATTAGGGGTACCATAGCTGACAATAGTTTGTACGTAGACTGCAGCAGCTGCCAAGGCAAGTGGCTGATACTCGAGAACTTCAGCAACCTTCTCAGCTTGTTGTTGATTCGAAATTTGGGACACTTCTCTTAAAAGGTCTACTGCATCATCTGGGTGCATTCCTTTACTGAGAGACTCATGGTAAGTATGAGGGGAATTGAAGGGTATTGACTGAGTATCTTGAGTAGTTACTAGCATCTGACCATGACGCCATTCTTCACTGGCGGTTGGAGGCAGATAACTACGAACCATGGATAGGTCAACAACATTTTCCACAATAATCAGCCAGGCAGAAAATTGTTTCACCTTTGGAGCAATAAAACGCATCAAATGTTGAATTTTTTCACCTGAGTCGACCTTCGAGGAGGTTGCTAGGTTGGTCAGAGCGTATTCCGTAACTCCCAGTTGTTTAGCTAGATTGAAATAGGAGTTGGCAAGTGAGTTAAGGGTTTCTGCATTCAGAGTTGAAACAAATGTTAGACCTTCGTCTTCTCGCAAACTTTTGTCATAGACTTCCTGTCCCACTTGACGAGCTAATTGACTTTTGCCAGAACCCGGAATTCCTGACAAATAAATGGTGCTGATGGCTCCTTTGCTTTCATTATAAAGTTCCTCGAGCTTGTTCTTGATTCTTGTGACATCGTTGGAACGTATGGTGATTTGGTGCGATAGCTTGAATGTAAGACTACAGAAAGACTCGACTTTAGAATCGATTTCCTTAATGAAGGTTTCTGCTTCTCCCTGCTTGGTCTGTAATTTGTCTTGGGTCAATTGGAATTCGGAGTTTAGATTTTTAACTTCTTCATCTTTCGCTTTTAAATCAGCTTTAAGTCCATCAGCCTTTAGCTTTAAGCTTTTTACTTCTGCTATCGGAAAGCTGCTCTGGTTCTTAACATCCTCGATTTCATCAGTTGAGAGTTTCACTCTTGCTACATAATTTTGGAATTCAGCATCAGTAAGTTCAACCTCGTTTATGTGAGCGATGTCGTTTCGTACCTGTCGAAGATCGTCGACCTCTTTTCTGATTGTCGAACACAGAGTGGTGCCAATACTATCCGAGAACAATATCGCAAAAAGTAGACAACTGCAGTCCCACTCTGCTGTGTTTCCCTTTTGTATTGTCGCAAAATATCGAGCATTCTTTTTGCGACTTTTCCCCGTTTCGTTGTTGTAGAAATCGCTGCCATTTTGTGGAATGT